ACATTCAGAACTGTGGATGCCCGATCACAGAAAAAGACAGCACAGGATAGATCTTAAAATTCAATTCCACATATGGTCAACCCAACCCAGTTTAGTACAGCTGACAGAGACGTGAAGACGTACTGACACAGAAAAGCTGAAAATCTCTGCATTTATTTTTATTAGGATCTAGATTATAGTCAAGGAGCCCTGGTGGTGCAAACAGCTAACCGAAAGGCTGGTGGTTCGAACCCGCTCAGTCGTTTCTTGGGAGAAAGACCTGGCAATTGCTTCCATAAAGACTGCAGCCAAGAAAACCCTATGGGGAAGTTCCACTGTCACGTGGTGTCACTGAGAGTCAGACTCGACCTCGATGGCACCCAACAACAACACAACACCATCAGGAGTCCGTGGGTGGTGCTCGGCTGAAAGGTTGGCCACACAAACCAACCCAGAGGTACCCGGACGCCAGGCCTGTCATCTGCTTGCAAAAGGTCACAGCCTTGAAGACGCTATGGAGCACAGTTCTATTCCACACACGTGGGGTCACCAGGAGGCCCACTCGACTCAGTGGCAACCAACCACCACCACCGCCAACAGAATCTAGTCAAATGGACACTCCAACTATTTTAGTTACTTAAACATCCACCTCTATATCATCGTTGGGAAACAGGGCCCTCTACTGCCATGCAAATTTCATAAAGGAGTCGCTCACTCTCCTTGGGGTCTGTAAGAGCGTTGACCCTCACTTCTGACTGGATCAGAGGTCCTCAGACTGGCCTGTATATTAGAATCAGGTGAAGAGCTTTTAAGTAACAGTAACGTGTGGGGTGCACTCCAGTCTCTGATGTAGAACCCAGATGTGGATATTTTTAAACCTTCCCTTAGGTGACTCTAACAGGCATCTAGAGCTGTACCCTGTGGCCTGGGTGGGAAGTCACAGAAGTCAGCTGGAGAGAACAGAGATAATTCTCCCCGTTCATAAACAGATACTCCACCGCCGACCGTCTTTTTTGCCCAATTTGAGGCCCATCCAAGGCCTGCACAGCCCAGGTGGAGCTGAACTAGAAAGCAGACCACAAACACGAAATGTCCAGCGCCAGCAATCACAGCACGGTGAGTTCATGTGTAAAACTCACCAACACAGGAAAGCGGACAATACTGGCACTCCATAAGCGCCAAGGGGTGCTGCATCCTAACTGGGATTTAGAAACTTCTGCTATCCAAGTAACCACCAAGAAGTACACCTCCAACGTGGACTAGGCCTAGGCGCAGCCTGAAAGGCTGTCAGGGGAAGTATCTGTGGATGGGATGTCCTGGAGCCCCTCCCACACCATCTGCTTACATCACCTGTTTTGGGTGTCCTGTACGTGGGGGATTTACTTGTCTATTTTCCAAAGGTAATGAGGAGTTGATACTATCTGCTCCTTTGGGGCCTCCTCACCCCAAATAATAACTTTTCTGCTATTAACTCAAGTATTTGAAATTTGAAATCTTTGGCAATAAAACTTCCACTTTATGGTAAACATATAAAATATTCTCAGAATATAATCAACTTTACTAGCTCATTAAATATATATGTATTTCTAACTCCTAATTTTCTTCTAATTGTCCATAAATTGGTAGCATTTTATAGAAATAAACAGAATCACTTAGATTTAATCACCATAGATAAAGCAAAATAAGAAAACAAAAGGTCACATTAAAAATTAGAGATTAGATTTTTTTTCAAAACATCATTTTATCACTGAAATTTAAAAAAACAAAACTAAGCTTGGGATCGTAAGGTTAGACTCACTAATTCTAAATTTCTTCACGATGTTGATGTAACCTGTAGTATTACTTTATTTGAGGTGTCATTTAAAAATAATTTGAGAAACTGGGATGGCTCCATCCTCCCGCAGCTGGCGCTCACGTGGGAGGTCAGGGTGAGCCACCAGGTGTACACCACGCCTGACGGGTGGGGCTCGCCTCGGGAAGAAGGGTGGCGCCAGGGCAGAGAGCCCCAGGAGCCTTGGGGTGGCGCTGTGTATACCTACCGGTTTCATTCAGTATGAGAACTTCCTAAGGAACGATGGGGCGTGCCTCAACCTTGGATTTAAACAGCAAGCTGTTCTGAGGCATGCACACCCCAAGATTTATGGAACTGGATAAAACAAACAGCAAGAACATGCACAGAAAAGCAGGGGGGGAAGGAAGCACGCAGAAGAGCTTCTGCTACTTCCAAGTTGACTGCAGGACCTGGAGGCTGAACTCGGGATGGTCAGGTCGGGAGCCACCGAGAACGCTCAGGCCAGGGAGGTCGGCCAGCCCGCCATCAGAAAGGACCACACTCCCGAGGGGTCAGCTACTAATCCTTCTGCTGTCAGGACCTGATCACTAGCTGAAGCCCGGCTCATCGGCACCCAGGTGAAGAGTGTATATTCTCATTGCACAACTCTTTCAACTTCCTGGGAAAACTAAAAAATTTCAAAATAAAAAAATTTGACTTTTATCTAAACCGGCAGATTACTGTTTAAAGGGATCTCAATTAAACAACAGAATGATATCAAGTCAGCAATTTACTTAAAAAAAAAAAAAAAATGCCTCCTCTCCAAAATAAAATTTTTTAGGTATATGTTTGTAGACCAAAATGCTTTTATGTTCCTAGCTGGGAGGATAAAATGATCTTTCGCATTTTTCATGAAATAAATAACAAAACCCATGATTTTAATATAGAAACTGGAAAGAATTTAGAGCATAAAGACTTTCTAATTTGTTTTTAAGCCTATTTATAGCATACCATACTAGTCACCATCAAGTCACCTCCAACCCATGGCGACCCCATGTGTGCCAGAGCAGAACTGTGTTCTACACGGTTTTCAACAGCTGTTTTTTTGCAAGTAGATTGCCAGGCCTTTCTTCTGAGACTCTGTGTGGACTCAAACCTCCTACTTTTCAGTTAGCAGTTAAGAGAGTTAATCGCTAGCGCCACCCCGGAACCTCTAAGCCTATTTGTAGGACCCTCAAATCGAGTATAAACTTAGATGTCAGCAGCAACGACCACGGTATGGTGGAGAGCGGACGGGAGGGGCGGAGGG